TATGGGGAAGAACCAACACTCACAGAAACTTCTCTTTATAGAGCAAGAAGGCATCTTTTTAAGGAAGAGAGGTCTCTTAATCTAACGAACTTTCATTCTAAAATCTGTTTTATTAGTATTTTCTTTTGAGTTTTTTTTTTTGTTCCTTCAGGCTGCAAGCTGAGCGAGAGAGATTAGCTAAAGAAGGTCCAATGGCTTTTTATTCTGAATGGGTTAAAGCTTGGAAGAGAGACATGTCGAGAGAAGCTGTACAGAAACATTTTGAAGAGACAGGTGAAGATGAAAACACACAACTGATTGAGATGTTCTCTCATCAAACAGATCGAGAATACCGGATAATGATGGGAACCGACATTAGGATCAAGAGAGATCCCTTGGCAATGCGGATGAGGGAAGATCAAATTAAGCAAAGTAAGAAACTTTTAACGGTTGAACTAACTCATCATGGATATTCAATTGTACCATTAACTTTGTCGGTTTCTTGCAGTTTGGGGCGGGGATCCAGTTTACCCGACAATTAACTACATTCAAGATCCTAATGCGGTTATGGATTTCAGAGGACCCGATTTTCATGAGCCAACACCAAATATGCTTTCTTATTTAAAGGAGGTTAGTCTGCTTTGCTCAAAATCCTTTTCCTTTTCTTTCTTGGTCTGATTGTTTTCTTTGTTTCTGATTTGGTCAGAATGGCAAAGTCATCTCAAGAGAGATGCATGAAGCTCTACTAACAAAAGAGAAAACTGAGCAGCTCGAGGTAAAATGACCAATCTTTCATTCTCTTTGACACAAGTCTCATTGAGAGATTTAAGGGGGTTGTTTCATTTGTTCGATAAATTGTATGAATGCAGGTGCCTGACATTGATGATGCAATGGCACAAGCTGTTGATATTGGTGAAAACGATGTGAGTATCATCGATTACATCAGATCATCTTCTTCTTTATTGTATCTTGATGTTATCATGCTCTCAAACATCTCCGGACGTTTTTTATGACAGGACGAGGAAGATGATGCAGATGTAGAAAAAGACGACGAGAAAGTGCTGAGGAACTGGAGTGTCTTGAAGAGTACCCCTGAGCTTCGCACCGCCAAGGTAAAAGCCACATTCAACTTGAGCCACATATATATGTGTTGTATGTGTTGATGTTATGTGTTTGGTTTCTGAAACAGCCTAAACCAAAGAAGGAAGGTCGGATGTCTCTAGACGAGGCCGTGGATGATTCTGAGAACTTAACTGATTTTCTCATGGACTTTGAAGAGGAGACTGATCCTTAAACCCCGGTTTTTGTATTTCTTTCCGGTTCAATGTAAAGACCTTGTTAATGTAGGTCAACTTTTTTTTGTTCACTGGTTTTGGCTTGTATACTTGGAAGGGATTGTATCATTTAGGAGTGAATTGAGTTTTTAAAGTGATTGAATATATTGTATTAACTACTGCCTCCTGCTTAGTTCAGCTTGAAACGGTTTAATCTGTTAAAAAACCAGACCTAAACCGAATTCGCAAGGAAAATGATCTCACAATTAGTATCCGTCTCCTTTTTTTTTGTCAACTGTGTGTAGTTTAAATCGAAAGCCACAGCTTGTCCAACATTTATTGTTTCGTGAAACGAATTGGACCAACAAAATCCTAAAAATGGAATGAGGATGTTTTGGTGTATAGAGAGAAACATTTCTTAATCTCACTTGTTTCTGGTGAGGACTCTATGGGTCAAGTCAATAAGTGCCCGCCTCGATCTTTTGACATCTTCATTGTCTGTTTCAGGTAGAGACCCTATTGCAGCCGCTGCGAGATTGGCATGTTCCATGGCTAATTCTCTTGCCCTCTGTATTCCCTTGCTCTTCCCAAGATACTCTAAAGCCTGTGGGATATTTGGTATTAGAGGCTTTGAAAATGTATTATAGATTTTAGGAGATTTGGTTCTTTCAAACTTACAATGTCAACATTCCTTGGATCTTTTTCAACTTGATCAACAACTTCGCGTAGTTGAGGAAACTCTTCTATGGCAAAGAGGATTGGAGCTGTTATGACTCCATGGCGGATATCTGATAAAGATCCCTTTCCGAGAGAGGCAGATGTGCCCGTGAAATCAAGAATGTCGTCTATCAATTGGAATGCTAAACCCTGAAAAATTAGAAACTAATCAAAGATATGTAAGAAAATTATTTCCAACAGAGCCAAATTTTATAGCAGACCACGAACCAGATTCTTCCCATATTCAAAAGCTAACACGGCAACTTCTGCTGTTTGTCCAGTGAGAACGGCAACCGCTTTGCAGCTGTTAGAAATTAGTGATGCTGTCTTATAATATGTCTTCTGCATGTAGTAGTCCATACTGCAATCATGAAAAAAAGATCATATTTGCATGAACGATCAGTATTATTATATGATATCCATTTCTTATAAGCCGCTATTGTGTTATTGGGGGGAGAAAATCAACCCTTGTTTTGAACCCAAACGTAAATTGGTGGTATAGAGGAATTGAGTAGTCTTTTATTATGGCTATATTTGACCAGAGAAGAAGATTTCTACCTATAACGCTGCTCGGTTGTACTAGTTATTTCCATGGTTTCACCAGTAACAAGATGTTCTACAGCAGTTGCAAGTAATGCTACAACCTACAAAAGAGAGACACAATGAAGATGTATGGCTTAAGAAGAAGTGATAATTAATTCTTAGGATTGATGTCATTGGTGCTAAATTATATATCACTGCAGGTTTAAAATAGCCTACAACAGCCGTATCTTAAATAAGTAATGATTTCTTCAATAAGTTTTCAAAATACGAGGGTCAACTTCTCAGTTTTCTTTTACCTCTGTGTTCTTTAAGGCAGCGAGAGCCCCACAAGCCCGGGACAGCAAGAAGTCTCCTGCTAATACCGACATCTACAAGGCGAAGCCAACGGTGATCTTCATATCTAATTGCAGCACTCGCCAAAAAAACAAAATTAATCATGTCTTAGACAGTAGTAGACTGTCAAGTGAGTACCTTGTTACCCATTACGACATTTAAGGAACCAACACCACGCCTTGTATCGGCATCATCCAAGACATCATCGTGCAGGAGACTTGCAACCTACAATGACCAAGCATTACAAATTAAAAAAAGGGGAGGATTTTAGATCTTAGTTTGTAATGGATCTTTGGGTAAACCTATAGTTATTTTATTTGATTTTGTCAACAGTAAACCAATAGTTACTCACATGTATCATTTCAGTGATTTCAGCAATACCCCGTTGCCTTACTCGTAACTCTGATGAGACTATATCTGTTGATTCACCAATCAATGCTTCTGGTACGCGTAAATTCAGAGCTGTCGCCATCAACAGCAAAACCTGTAAACATGAAACCAGACCGGTTATGATACCTAGAGAGAATGAATCAGAACATGAAGACAAGTTATGGAAACATAAAAGAGATTATGGTCATTACAGTTGAACGAAACTGTTTTCCTTGCACACCCCTTTTGAAGAAGTACTCAGCTGCAGAGGCAAGCTTGGGAACCTGAACAGCAGAATATAGAAACAAGAAAAATAGAGATTAACTTCAGAACATTCAACAGCAAACTGGCTTTTGCCACACCTTTATGCACACAAATGAATGAAAAAAGGGCCACTTACCTCGGCAACTACCATCTCTCTCAACTTATTACTAAGAAGTGACAGCTCATCGGCAACAAGCGAAAACGGGTCAAGCTCCTCCTAGGAAAGGACAATCTTACTCTTTCAGCAGTCGGAAAAGAAAAGAAGTTTCAGCATTGAATCGAAGTTAAAAAAAAAAAAACAAAATGACCAAATCACAAGATCAGTGACAAAACAATGAGATCTAAGTACGAGTGAAGCAATGTCCAGAAATCGAAGTATATGTGAAAGTTTAACAATAGAGGATCATAGTGAGCTAAGTACGAACCTCAACTAAGGAGCTGCTCTGGTGATAGAGTTGATGACTAAATCCACCAAAAAGGGGAGATTTCAATGAATAAGTTGGTCTGCAAACGTAACCCTACTAAAACATCACAAAGAATAACACATTGGTTAGGTCACCAATTCTATATAAACACATAAAACTCTAAAATAAACTGATCCGTCTCAACTATTTTCTTATCCTCTCTCTCACACACAGGACTTGATGCATCCAAATAGGACCCATGGAAAATCTTTATCAAAATGTAGAAAGAGAAACACTATAGCTTTGGCTGATAAGTCCATTATTTTTCACACTCACCAACAAAATTACATCATAAACAAAAAGGGAAAATTTTCAATTCCAACAAACTCCCTAAATAATAGATGAGCAAATTTAAAAACCAAACCTTTATTCAATAAAACACAATCTCCATGGTAATGATTAGAGAAAAACCGGGATAATTAACACAGATCATAAAACCTGTTATAGAGTAAAAAAAGAAAAACAATTTCTTCACAAATCAGAAACCCTAATCGAATATTTTCTCGCCTCATAGACACAAGAGAGAAGTTAAAATTACCTTGTGTGTAGAGTCAGAACAAGAGTGACCCTGATCGGGAATGATTGCGAAGCGGTGAGAGGCGAGAGATTGAGAGCAGCCATAGAAGCTACGGTTTCTCAGAAACTTGGAAGAAATACGAGCAACACTCCTCGAGAACAACATTTTCTAAATCTTCTCTACGGATCGAAAACAGAGGAAAGTTAACCAAAGAGGCAAAGACTTGTGAATCTGAATAGAAAAATGAAGAACCCAAGTCGAGAACGCAGCCGACCCGACTCGGAGACTAAATTATTAAATGACGAAGATGAACCTCAGCCATGAAAATTAATTTTTCACATTTTTACTGTTTTACTTGCCAAGGCAGTCAATTTACCCAACGCCTTTTTAGGGCTTCTCCTGAGGTTTAATGCTATTTTAATTTTATATTATTTTTTGTATCATAAAATTCTTAGCAAGAGGCCCACTCTAAGCCCAATCATACATACCTTAGCCCAAATTCTGGTTTGAAAGAAGATTTTTACTTGACAAAAACGAATATTTCACCAAATCGAACTTTTCTTTTAATAGAATTCAATCATTCATGTTCACAAATTCCTAGCAATTGCTATGTACTTGGCAATTGTTTCAGAGACACATGGAACAAAATTAAATATAAAGCTATGAACACGATCATTAACATTCTCCCACATATACAATAAATGTTATCCGTTTGCAACTGAAGAGGCCTTTGTGAGCAATTGCTCGAATTCTTCATCAGTGCTCTTAAGCATCAATGACAATGGCAACTCTAAACCTCTCTCTTTTGATTCTAAGTGTCTTGGCTTTATCCTTTTCTCTAGGCTGAAGGCAAAATACTGTGGAAACTCCTTTAGATTCTCCAGTTTTCCTTTGATCCCACTCATGAAGTAATCCAGTTTTGGTTTGAAATTGTTCTCTATGCTGAATGTGAATAGAGCTGGACATCTAAGTATCATTCCAATCGCTTCTGCTCTCGAGTACCCTATACTCTCCAAGAATCTGACCAACAAAATTCCAATATAGATGTAACACTAAAGGTAGATTCTCTGATCTAATCACTAGTAACATTGAAGAAAGCGGCTGAAATTTTACCTAAGTTTTGGGATGAGAGTGTGTTCAACACTAGACACCAGTAAGATAGGATCTTGGTAAGCAAGAGCTTCAAGATCCTTGAAACCAAGTCTCTGCAAGTAGAAAAGAGCAGGCTTGAGCTGGTCTTCTACACTGCTAATCAGAAGCCTTGGACATTTCTTGATCACTCTTCTGAACGCATTCTCAGGGACATGGAGATCATTCGACAGGAACATGAAGACAGGGTGGAGTTCTGTTCTGACGTCGGAAGTGAGGATCTTAGGACACATCCCCAAGATTCTTGGGAGGTCATTTGGGTAGATTCCTTTTGATTGGAGGAAATGGAGGACGGATTCGATGGAGTCAAGGGAGGCTGAGCAGAGACATGGGTTGAGAGAGAGGGCTTTGCCTGAGTCAATTCCCATGAGCTCGAGACAGAGGATCTTCTCTTTCATCTGGAGGGTTACTGTCTGATCGGCTACAGAGAAGAGAGGGTGGCTATGTAGAGTGGTTTTGATGGACGTGGGTTTCGTGGATAAGATTGTGGGTTGAGATTGTTGTGGGCATGACGGTTTCTTTGGTGAAATGTAGAGAGACGAGCTCAATGCTGCAGACATGGTGGAGAGAGATGGTGTGGCCTTTGGATGGTCTTGCGGAAGGAGAAGAAGAAGAAGAAGAGTGTGAAGGTAAGGTGGGTTATTTCCACGTGGCACTATTCTCTGTTGTGATTGGTGAGATGAGATTGCAAAAGTGTCTTCGTTTTTTGTAGTTTGGATAATCCAAAAACACATCCAAACACGTGGCACTCTTTCTTGTACAATGATTGGCTCATTTGAGATTACAATCCGTCTTCAGTGTTCCAATAGTTTGATCTACTCTAGATACTTTGTTCATCTGACTAAACTTGTGTGTGATCTTCTCTCGATGATCATATTATGCATAGCTTTGTGATTGGGTTCACATACTTCACTGCACGGACAAAAAATTATATTATCATATGACAGAAGTGTATAAACAGAGGCAAAGTTTTTTTTTTGTGTTGTTTTTTGCTATGATGCACCAGAAACTAGAACCATTCTCTATTCAAATCAAAATTGGATAAAACAAGTTTCAAAATCAACACAGGAATTGCAGTTATGGAGCTCCGATGGTGAGCATCTAAACAAGCAAGTCATGAAGAGAAACAGAATCATACCATGGAAGGATCCGAGAGAAGAGCTGAGACCGCACTCGCCGAAGTTGAGGAGGATACTGTCTCTCTAATGGCTTTGGAGAGATTGAACTGTGTAAGAATGACCGGAGTTTCTTCTCCAAGTAGATCCTTGTCCGGATCCTGAAAACCCTCCATCACTATTATGTACCTACCTGTTCTTAAATCCCACCATCTATCACCTGCACTTTCCGTTCTCAGTAATTACTGTCTCGACTCGGTGGCTATAATTGTTTCGCTGTCGAGCCGCGGTTTTGTTTTTGTATCCTTTTTGGATTCGGATTTTGTGGGGGAATAAAGATGAACAAAATACAACCAACAGTCCACCGCTGGAGGTTAAGGACGAGGATTGAAAAAAAAGGACCTAGTTAAAAAGTCAGAATTTTGCTCACTAGAACTAAATTTATTAAGATATTTTATTTTAAGAGTCATAGTTCATACTTCATACTAAAGTCATAAATTATTTAGCCATTTGTACATCAATATGTGAATTTGTAAGATTTATTAATATATGATACTTGAACTCATAGTTTCTTTTGTTTATCATCAACAAATTTATTCATCAACTTAGATACCTTAGAATATAAGAATAACAAATAAATTCTCAAAAAAAAAAAAAAAAAAAAAAACTCATGTACATACCTCATTATATAAGGTCCTCATATATGTTCAATATATACACTATTAATCTAACATACTAGTATGACTCTCTGAACCAAGAATTTTCTATGAAGTAAATGTATTTTTGACGTGCAAAAAAGTGAGTTTAAACATATTTCAGTTTCCATCTATTTTAAAAATAGTCGCAACAATTTTTCACTCTAATAATCTAATTTCATTTATTTCAACCATTGAAATTAAACTAACGATTAATTATCTCCATGATCTCATTACCAACTCTAACGACAAATGCACAAACATGCAAAATAGATATAATAAACAAGATGCAAGAATGACAAAAAAGAAGAAGAAGGAAATGACACAAAAAGGTTGACTAAATTTGCCGTATCGGTACAACAACAAATTACATTAAACTAAATTTGTCGTTTGATATCTCGATTGAACCGTTGGATGAAATCTTCGACTCGTCTGTTCAACTCCTCGTTTGACATCTTCGAGAACTCCTCCGACTCTTCTCTTACATTCTCCCACTTCTTCGTCGCCATCTCCATCTCCTCAGCCTTTGTCACCTTGTGAACAACCATCCATTTCGAGCTATCCGACTGGCTTCGATCGTAACTTTTAGGTCTATGTTTGATGTCTTGACGACGGCTTTCCTTGGTTACCATTGACCCACGAGCCTTATCCGATTTGCTTCTCCCGTACGGTTTAGAGTTCACCTTTCTTGCTGTGCAAGTTTCTTCTTTGGCAGCTTTTATAGGAATGTTTTTCTCAGTCATTGGCTCGAACTTTTGGATAGTTGTGTTTCTCGGTTGGTTCTTGCTCACGGCTTGAATGATTCTCTCAGGAACTTTCGCTTTCTTGTTAGGCAAATACTGAAGTTGTAAGTCTCTTTCTCCCGTTAGTTCTTCTTGTTTCTCACGGTTCTTGATTTCTTCCGCCATATCCACCCGATATCCCAAGTTTTCCGGTCTAGGGTTTTCTCGTGCACCTCTTGTCATCGAGGCTGTGTATTCTCCGTAAAAATCGTGGTTCTCTTTATCAGTGAATGCTCCGTAATCGGCGGCTATGATGATGATAAGTGCGTTGGAGATGACAAACAAGATCTTCGTGTCGTTGAAGATCGACAAAGGAGACACGTCGAGAACGTGGAAGATCAAAATGTAGGTGAAGATAGATAAGATGATCGGGAGCAACGAAGAGTACAATTTGTATTGTTGTTTCTTGGGCTTGTAAGGCTCGAAAATAGGGTTTCCAACAACGTACGAGGGCATTTCTGTCATTTTCAGGGATAGCTCGTGATGAGTTGGGCATTGGATTTGAGAATTGAGCCTTGAGGTCTAGTGTGTTTGATCTTTGAATTGGTCATGATCAAAGCTCTTTATATTGCGAGCATAGTCTGCATTATTGAGATTGTGAATTTCCTATTTTGCCCTTGTCAACTACTATATCTTACTTGCAGATCCTGCCACGATTCGCTATTTGTCGTTTCATGTTGAGTTACGTGGAAATTCCAATCGTCTTCTGCAAGTCTTATTCAATGATTTACTTTTTGTTAACCTGAAAATGTACATTACATTTAATATGTGTATTAAGATTAGTACAAAATTTGAATTATTGTCGTTATTGGGTGATATAAGCAAATCGGAAAAATATTTTAGGTCAAGGTACAGAGGCTTGGTACCGCAAAACGTCAACACGTCATCTCGTGACAACAACAGAAATCAGTAAATTTTTATTTTTCTTATATTTATACATTACATTAGGTACCTTTGAGATGTACAATATGAGAAAAATATGTACACACTTTGACAGCACAACAAAGTAAAATAAAACAACATATAAATGATAGCTTTGCTTCCACGTATCTATAAAATGTGAATTTTATTTGGTTGCATCACCTAATGATTCAAAATTTACTTACTATAAAAATAAAATTTGAAGATTCAATCAAAACGATTGATCTGAGTTTATCCGCTTCTTTTATCCGGATTGAAAGAAAACTCCAATGAGATTAGTTTATTTTAATCTTTCAAACCTCTATGGCAGTCATTTTTTCATGAATTATTGCGGTTATCGACAAACCAGTCATATTTTGGTTTGTCAGCAAATAAATTCTTTACTCTAAGTCAGAGATGTAAACGTTTTGTATCATAAGAAGCCAAAATATGAATATATGTCATATTGTATATCACCATTGAAGAATAAATGAAATTGAAAATTTAGATTGCCTATATCAACTTGTTGGTTAAGCTGTAACGCGTGGCAATAGCGAAGTTCATGTTTGCTCACACACGTTGGCGGTTGGTCTAGATTTCATCGTACAAGTGTTATAATTACCTTAACTTGTCTAAAAAAAAGATCTCGACTATTCTTGCACCATCATACCTTATTCTTGCAAATTAAAATTGTTCAAATTTAAAGATTAGTGTTCAGTAGCTAGAGTATATCTTTCATGAAAAAAGATTGTGTAGAGTGGTCTAATTATTACGCTAACTCCAGTTCTATATGCAACCTAATTGAAGAAGACTTCACTTTTGTATATGAATGTTTCTCGCATCAGTCGCGCCATACAACACGTTAATAGAGAAGGAGTTATATATATCAACAATTTAAGGACAACTATGTTTGTGTGAAGTTCATTCATATACCCCGCCGGCCCGCCCATTTTCTTGTGAACGATGATTCATAGTGAAAATTATACCGATTTACCTTGCCAAATCATTTAGATATAATTTTTTTTTCCTATTTATGTAACAATAACTTTATAAGTCTTAATTGAGTAGGTACATGGCTACCAAACGGTTAGGTTTTCATGCTTTAAACACAATTCCGTTAGTTGTTGACTCGTTTTTACGAGATGATGCATTGGGATATTCACATCTGCGTTTAGTTTGTTTTTTACTCCCGCTGATTCAAAAAAAAAAAAAAGAACTTGGCTACCAAAGGATCAAATCTTGATTGATTTGAGGTGAACTTGATTTAATATATACATTTATACTAATATGCTATAATCATGTATCATTCTATCATTAAAACCTGAAAATTTAAAATGTATAATTCATGTATATGTTATTTCATAATGTTTTACTAGATTATGTAATCTGATTTTTTTTTTTTTTTATCATCCAAACAAACTTGAAACCATTAAAAACGTCTAGGCCCCAGTTAAGGTGACTAGAAGCTAAAAGTCCTTTTCTTGAACACTAAACACAAGTTGCTTGAAAATCTGAAACCTTAAAACTCTTAACTAAGGGTCTATAATCCATCCGAAACACGAAAAAATAATCAACACAATTGGATTATATTGGAAGCAAAGAGGAAAAATGAAATCAAACAAATTATGTTATCGGGAATAAGGGGAAGTTGCTTGAATCCGAACATTTCGTTTCTGAAGAAAACTCCGAAGAGATCTCTTCATAGAGACCTTTTGATTATGAAATCGGGGCGAATATTTTGGGAGTGTTGGAGGTTCCGAATCGTCTGAGCTTTTCAACGATAACGATCTCTCTTCCACATCTCTACTCGCTAGCGATAGTATAGCTTTAGCCTCAAGGTGGGTAAGATCTGAAGAAACACACATGTGCCCGTTGTAGAAGATGGTTAATATCTGAGATTCATGCTTTGGTTGTGAAATTTCAGAGCTGCTTGATTTGTCCACCCTGATATATATAAAGTATTATCAGTATCGTTTGACTCTATTAATTCATATTCATACATGTATATGATACAATTTGTTATACAAATAACGTTGAGAGAAAGAAGTCTTACGAGCTATGGAAATCAGAAGAAGCATATGAAGAAGTAAGAAGGCGAAGTTCCAAGTCGCATTTTGTTTGCATCTCCATGATCTCTTAGTTGTGAGTAAATATGCTTGTGTAGTTTTTGATGATGATGATGATTGTGTGTCAGTCTATTGATTTATATATGTGTGTGTGCGTGTTGTGTATGTGTTGGGATCGAAGAGAGAGAGAGAGGGAAAGATAAGGATAGAGAAAAGACGAGACAAAAGCTGGTTTGGACAGAACACAGCTTGACATCTCTGTTTCTTTCTCTTTCTCTCTTCACGCATGTGTAAAATGCTTTTTGTGATTTTTATTTTTGTTTTTCATTTCTTATAAAGAAAAAAAGTTTCCTTTTTTTTTTTTTTTTGTAAACTAATATCAAAAGAGAAGATTTTTTTTTTAAAGAGTTCATCCTATAATTCTTTTGGGGTTGTTAGGAGCAGGGCCGGCCCATGGGTAAAGCCCATGAAGCAAGGGCTTTAGGCATCAAATAATTATAAGTAGTTTTAGGGGCATTAATTTTTAAAATGTTACTGTGGTCTAGTGGTTAGATTGAAGTCTTTTGTTGTACATGTCACGGTTTCGAATCCCATACATGTTAAAACTTGTATTTTTTTTTATAACAGCTTTTTTTAATGGGCCAAATTTTTTTTTGCTTTAGGCACTCAAATAGTTTGGGCCGGCTCTGGTTAGGAGAAAATATTAGATAAATACTGGACTCATGCCTCATCAAATAACATAGATTTTATCATAAACCTGTTTGTGAAGTTTTAAAAAATTTGAGTCCATTTGTTTTGGTATTATTGCCGTTTTAATATGTTTCACGCGAATGCTGTAAAAAAAAAAGCTGTAAAAAAAAATTATATATGTTTCACGCGAATTAAATACAAAAATAAAATGTATTATAATATTTTTAATTTGGGGTAAGCTATAGATTTTATGATTAAATATTACATTCAAAATTCAAATACATATATTTTTATGGAAAAGTGAAAAAAAAAAAATACTAGTTTTTATGAGAAATCAGTATAAGATTTCACGCTAAGCTCCATTAACATTTGTGTGGATGTCGGATTCACACACTCAAGTATTTTGTTAAGTGGGAAAGATTATTCTTGAGGGACAAAAAATGAATACGTAAGAACTTGTAAATTGATATGAAAATTGCTTATATTCTTTCTCTCCTTAGAGCTCGGTCCCCTTACATGGCCATTGACCTCTATATTTATACACAAATAAACGACATTAAAATGAGTAATCAAACACAATTATTTCTTCTTAAATGTGTCCGTTTCGATTCTTCGGCTTTAATGCTCAACGTTTGAATTTGAGTTGACTCCGATCTTCATGGGCCTCGCCTCTCTTGGCCCAAATGTCCTTGAACTGCCTTACCCATGCCTTTTTCATCGAACTCGTGCCGCAGTGCAGTCACTTCGGACTCTTGAAACGGTATCAACCATTTCGAACATCCCTTTGGCTCACGGGTCCAATGGGCTTCATCCTTTATGGGCCATTACCCTGATTACGCGGCAATCTTTGGTTGGTCTCGTACTTCTGGTGCGGGATCCGACACCAACAATTAGCCCCCCAAGTTCTTCGAAGTGCTATTCCAATTCGGAGGACTTTAAATGCTCAAGTGGCCAAAGATTGCGCTCGAGAATCTTTATGATTTCCCGCCGAAAATCCCATCACTCCTTTAATTTCGGCAATAGCCATTTTTAACCGAGTGACATCTGTCATCATTATGACCGTATATTGATTAATTACTATTAAAACGGGGAAAACCTTCCCACTTCCCACACGACTTCCGAGGCGGTTTCATCATTAGCTTGAGGTAACTTCTTTTCACCATTACTCTCTTCTTTCGCTTTTGTACTTTAATTAAAACCTCTCTCTTCGTTCCTTCACCAAAACCCTTCTTCGCCGGATCTTGAATTTTTCTTTCTTTCCAATGACTTCTGATTCCGATAGACCCGAGTCTCCGTCTTTCGACGAGAGGCGTTCTAGTAACGACGAGTGCACCCGCCCCGGTGACATTGCCGGTCCGCACTATAGGTCCACTTGTACTCTTCAATCCCTCGAGCGATTGAAAGAGCTTTGCCGGATCCCGGCGGAAGTTATGGCGGAAGCACAAATAGCTTCCCCCACAGAATCCCCAGAGAGCCATCGTGATGGTTACTTCTGTGTGTATGAAATTTATTTCAAGGGTTGCGGGCTGACCTTTCCTCTTCCCGAAGCCCTAATTTTATATCTAGCGGCTCTTGAGATCGCTCTACCTCAATTAACCCCCAATCTTCTCCGTACTATTCTTGGAATCATAACAGTCGCGGCGGAGGCCGGTTATGTTATCGGAGTTGCTGAACTTAACGAGCTTCTGAGCGTGAGAAGCTCATCGAAGAAAACGGGATATTTCTCAGCATATCCTAATGCCAACAGGAACATCGTTTCACATCTTCCGAACAAGGATGAAAATTGGCATCATCCTTGGTTTCTAATTAAGAAAACTCCCGCTTCGATTGGAAATCTCGCAGATTTTCTCCCTTCGAAGTGGTCTGCGAAACCCGGTAGTGATTAGGTTGCCCGTATCTTTTCCGATTGTTTCTTTATCTTTATTGGCTAACACCGTTGTTTCATTTCGCAGCTTTCATCGCTTCCAATCTCCCATCTGAAGAGTTCATCGAATTCTTCAAAATAATTCTTGAAGGGGAAACCCTTTGGAATTCCTTCACCCTTGAACGATTCCTAGAAGCTAACCACAGACTCAGGATGAGTCCGCCTGGTCATCTTCACCAAATTCCTCCCCCTCCCTCAACCCAGGGAATGTCATCTCGGGCCCTTGCAGCCAAGCGTAAGTTGCTTTCCAAGCCGATGGCTGAGGCTTGCGAGGAGAAGAAAAAGTTTCTCGCGACTTCCATAGACAAGAAGGACTACAGTAGAACCTTGTTGGTTGATGATGGCAGCGCCGAGGGAGCTCGATCTGTCGCTTCCTTCCGATTCACTCCTCGTCGCGATCGTCGCGACTCACGTTCTCCTCGGAGGGATCGATCTCCTCGCCGTGATTCACCTCGCCCTTCCCGAGATGATTTTAGTAACGAGCCAATCAAGAACTTGGTTCGCCGGAAGAGGGACAAGTCTTCTCGCAGAGATCCTTCCCCGCAGAGGGAAAAGTCAAGGGCCCGGACTGACCGCTCGCCTCGGTCATCCCCTCCTTCTGAACCAATGGGTCCTCCACGACCGGTTGACATGTCCTCCTCTTCCCAGCCGGATAGTGGAATGCCTACCCGGAGCGCGTCTCCGAAAAAGGGGGATTCTGAATCTCGAGATGCTCCCTCGAGGCTGAAGCCTGCTCTTGTCCCGCAAGTTAAATCGCTTTCAGGTTTGGTGATTTACACACACTTAAACTTTTGTCTTTACTGAAGTTCCAATTTTTTACAATTCTTCCTTCCTCGCAGCTATGGAGACAGAAGGCAGCGTCTTCCGATGCTTCAAGACCCGTTCGGGTTCGATCTTGCCAGATTTCAACAAATGGCGCCCTGCAATTCGTGAACGCTATTTGCTTCACGCTCACCACTCATCTCGGGTTAGTTCCGTTTTTTTTTTTTTTTTTTTTTGCATTGCCATTCTCCGAACTGACTCACCATCCTTGGTTCGTGTATAATGCCAGGCCCAGAGCGAATTTAACGACATGATCGAACATTACGAAGGGTTGGTCCTTGGACGGGAGAAGGAGATTGACATGTGGAAAAAGAAACTCTCTGCTCTTGAGGCCGAAGTCAGTTCTTCTGCCGGCTCCAAGCACGAGCTGGAGGACAAAGTCGACAATTTAACATCCGAGCTTGCGCAGATAAAGGGGGAGCTGCAGGGTCAGTACGACCAGAACTTTAAACTTCAGGAAGAGTTTTCTGATATTCAAGGTAGGCTTCAAGAGTCCGAATCAAACGCTGATTCCCTGCACAACCAACTCACCGAGCTCAACGCGAAGTACAAGGCGATCGCCAAATTGCGTGACTCCGAGTTGGCGAGGTCGGCATCAAGAGCCAGAAAAGAGGTCAAGGGACGCGGGATGGAGTTGATCCAAGGGGCCATCCGATTCATGCAGACTGAGAAGGCTAGGTCGGACTTGGAGTCAGACATCAAGGAGCATGAAAGCAACTTGATTCTGCTGGACCAAATCCACGAAGCTGATTTCTCCGAGGAGCAAGAAAGGACCGAGCTATCGACTAACCTTTCTGAAAAACGGAGCCGCTTAGCAGCCCTTCCCACTTCGGCTTTTAATCCGCTTGACTTCGAGGCATTCTTTACTGAATCACCTCCAATAAGTGAATCGGGTTTAGATTGGGCAGGTAACGCCTGGCTTATAAGGCTTTCCTTTTCTTACCTTGTACTTTTGATTGACTGGAATTATTATTTCCAGGTTCAAGTGAGACGGAGGGCATTGTCCCGCCCGTAGCTCCTGTGGTACCGGAGGTTACTCCAGAGGTTGGTTGTCCCGCGGAGGGTGGTCAGGGAGCTTCATCTGATCAAGCACCAGTCAAGGAGGTGAATGAAACTCTGGTTGCTGAGCAGGAGCCCGAGGTGGAGATCGCTCCGTAGTGGCTGTGTCCACTTTTAAATTGGGAATTGTCCCTTTTATTTTAAGACTTAATTTCAAACTTATTTTTGCCTAAGGAGGCTTTATTATTATTTTCTTTTGAACAAGATATTTGCCTGAGGAGGCTTTTAAACCTTTCTAGGTTGTGGCCCAAGGGGGTCTGGTTAAAATTACATGCGGGTTTGCAAAGTCCGCTTTTAACCTTTTGTGGCCTTGTGGCAATGCTTTCGAGATTTTTAGGCTGATCAGACCTTTCTCTTTAGAATGCGAGAGCTGAGCTCGGCTTAAAGCGAGTTCCCCACTTCGGGTTTAGTCAACTCGGTAAACTTGTCAGGCTTGAGCCTTAGAAACTTTTGCAGTTGATGCGACGGTTGCTCTTTCCCTTCTTAAAGAGAACGGCTCGTCTTTTAATGTAATAATTGCCTTTTCACGATTTTCCAAAAATGGTTTAAACCACTTGGGCACGCTATCATTAATGAATTTATGTTTCCAAGACAAACCCTAAATCATTATAAATAAAGGCTTACCTACCTCTAGGCTTTATTAAA